CAACATTATTATTTGAGATAAAGAGGGGTATTTCATAATGATTAAGGATTAATTCATCAGGAAAATACAATAATTGTAAACATTTGTATCTAACAAAGGATACAATACAAAGCAAAAATTAATAAAAGTGAATAAAAATGGAAAATTCAGCAATAATAGCTGGAGACTTCAATGACCCATTCTAGGTAATGGACAGCAAAATGAGACAGAATATCAAAAAGGATATAGAAAACATAAACAGAACTATAAGGTAGATATAACTGACAGTTTTAGAACAATCCAACCAATAACAACGCAATATAAATTCTTCTCAAATGTACATAAAACTTTCCCAAAATAAATGATATGGTAAAACAACAAAACAAGTCTCTGGAAATTTAAAAGGATTTATATCATACAATTTATGTCCTCAGACTACACTGGAATTAAATTAGAAATCAACAACAGAAGAAAATTTAATTCAAATTGAAATTTTTAAATTGAAAATTAATTTAAGTTTTGGAAATCCTTAAAAAGGAACAGGCAGAGACAGAGAAAGAGAAAGGGGGAGGGAGAAAGAGAAGCAAAAAGAAGAGAAGTGGAAGAAGAAGAAGATAAAAGAGAGGGAGGGAGAAGATCCAGATTAGAAAGGAATAGATAAAACTGTGTTCATTCACAGATTACATAAATTTATATGTAGAAAACCCTAAGAATTTTACAGACACAAGCACAGACACACACACAGACACACAGTCTGCTTCTCCCTCCCCCTGCTCTTGTGCTCTCCCTTGCTCGCTCTCTCTCTCTCTCCCTCTCAAATAAATAAATAAAATCTTTTTTAAAAAGATAACAGGAGGAATCCTTGTGGTGATGTAACTGGTCTTTATCTTGTCTGTGGTGGTTGTCATATGAACCTATGCCTATGGTAAAATTGCATAGAACTAAATTCACACACACATACACCCACACAAATGAATACATGTACAACTGTGGAACTCTGTAAGATGGGCAGATTGTATCATGTCAATTTTGTGGTTGTGATAGTGTACTATAGTTATGCAAGACGTTATCACTGGGAAATACTGAGTAAAGTGTAAACAGGACCTCTGTATTACTTCCTACAATTATATGTGAATCTTTAATTATCTTGAAAAAAAAGCTTAATTTATAAATGGGCAAAAGATTTGAATAGACATTTCATCAGAGAGGTATATAATGAAAAACAAGCACGCGAAAAGATGTTCAACATCATTAGTCATTAGAGAAATATAAAATAAACCTACAATGTGATACACTTCATTCCCACAAGAATAGCTCTAATAGGGGCTCCTGGGTGGCTCAGTGGGTTAAAGCCTTTACCTTCGGCTCAGGTCATGATCCCAGGGTCCTGGGATGGAGCCCCACATCAGGCTCTCTGCTCAGCGGGGAGCCTGCTTCCCCCTCTCTCTCTGCCTGGCTCTGCCTACTTGTGATCTCTCTCTGTCAAATAAATAAAATCTTAAAAAAAAGAATAGCTCTAATAAAAAAGAACATAAAAGTTGTTGGAGAGAATGTGGAGAAAATGGAACTCTCATACATTTCCAGTTTAGAATGCAAACTGATCTACATTGAAAAACAGTTTGGCAGTTATCTTAAAATCAACACTCTTACCATATGACCCAGCAATTCCTCTCATAGATATCTACCCTTGAGAAATTAAAACCTATGTTCACACAAGGACATGTATGTGAATTTTCAAAGCAACATTTTCATAATATCCAAAATGTGGAAGCACACCAAATATCATCAATAGATGAATGGATAAACAAAATGTGATATACCTTTACAATGACACACTATTTATCAATTAAAAGGAATGAAGTACTTGTGCAAGACACAACATGGATAAACTTCAAAAAAATTATGCTAAGCAAAAGAAACTAGATACAAAAGACTACATATTGCATGATCCAATTTATTTGAAAATGACCAGAAAAGAAATCTTTAGAGACAAAAAGTAGATTAATTATTGCCTGGGGCTAAGGGTCAGAATGGGGAATGATTGAAAATGGAATAGTGATTTCTTTTGGGTGTGACAGAAATGTTCTAAGATTAGTTTGTAGTGATAGTTGCACAATTCTGTAAATTAACTAAAATCACTGAATTGTACACTTAGAGAAATAGAGTGAGTGAGAGAAAAGGAAGGAGGGAGGAGAGGACTCTTTTAAAAGTTACATTTCTTCTCAGATGTTCTAAGATTGAAACCCCCTCTGATGGTTACACCTATGACCTCTTGCCTCAAGTCCCCATCCATAAGAGAGGGCAATTACTCCCATGCCCTGCTTAGCTCATCAGACAGAAAGTTATATGGCCTGCTTTCTTCTCCACCCACTCCTAGCTTTAGTATTCTTGATGGTTGCTAAACTATCATTTAAAAATCATGTCACTCCTTGTGTTTACTGACCAAATGTGTTTTTCTCAGCTTGCCCAATTCCAAATTCTCCTATGGTTCATCAAAATAAATTACTTTCGGAATTTTAAATGCATTTTCAGCATAGTGTATATGCAAGAAAGCAGACCATATTTGTGAGTTTCTTCAAGCAATAGCACTGCTTTGTTCTTTTGACATCTGAGTAAATGTCAGAGACCACTCTCCATTTTGGCGGTATAATTTCCCCCTCCCTCTCCTTCTCTCCATCCCCACAGCCATCATTTCTTCACTCTTACCATAGTTCCAGTATCTCACTAGCACTTATCACAAAGTCCACCCGTTATACTCCTTTCCCTTTCTCTCCTTCAAATATCCCTTCCTATCCTAATCCTGACTGGTGAAAAGGAGAAATTACCATATAAGTAATAATCAGCAAAATACTTCCCTCTAGTCAGTGACTTAGTGGACTTTTATGGATAATATAACATGTTTGGAAAATTTTGGGTATTGCCTATGACTTTTTTGCTTTTTGAAAGGGAAGAACTGCTCTGAAATATGGTTTTGATCTTAAGTCTAAAGTATTTCACTCCCATAAATGACATATGACAAGTTTTTATTAATATCCAAGTAAAGCAGATATATTGTATCTGCCCTATCAGAAGGCTCTTGTAAAATATTTTAGATTAGTAGGCAAAGTTCTCTATAGTATAAAAACTAACTTTTGTTGCTTATTGATAGTGTTGCAACATATTTTTAAAGTTCTAAAAATAAGGTATTGAGTACAAAACATTTTTTTCACCTTAATAACACAAACTTATTGATAATAATAGTTTGAACAGTGCTGCCTATAAAACTAATTTCTTCCCCCCTCATGCATCCTAAATGCTCTGTTTATATTGCTATACCACTAGAGTAATACTCAAGTAATACTTAAATTAAAGTACAATTATGGGGTGCCTGAGTGGCTCAGTTGGCTAAGGGATTGACTCTTGGTTTCGGCTCAGGTCATGATCTCATGGGTCATGGGATGGAGTCCTATGTTGGGCTCCACACTCAGCTTGGAGTCTGCTTGAAGATTCCTTCCCTCTGCCCCTTCCCCTGCACATTCTCTCTCTCTCAAATAAATGAATAAATCTTTAAAAAAATAAAGTGCAGTTATGTCTGTTTCCTCAGTCTCACCATCAAATTGGAATGGAGCTGTAGTGTAGCATAAAGAGCAGTGAAGCTGATATTAAAATACCTGGATTACAGGATTTGTTTTATTAATAAGCAGCTACATGACTTTACTATCTTAATGATCCCCGAACTATGACAAGGATTTCTGTGCTGCTGCTAAGTATTAAATAGTTTGACACATGGATTGGAAACTCAAAATATGTGATCCCTACAACATTTTTGTGGGCATAGAGAAGATAGGAAAAAATATTTAAAATAAAAATTTTTAGACAAAATGTTACCACAGACCTTAACAAATTACTTAAACTTCCTGAGACTCAGTTTTGCCAGCTATAAAATAGATATGATGATGCTTACCTTATAGGATTTTTTAAGGGTTAACAGATACTGTACATGAAAGAGATTAGCTCAGTGTCTGGAAGATGGACAATATTAATTAATATTTCCTTGGGTTGGAATGCTCCCTCCACCCACTCCATGGCTTTCTTCCCTGTCAAAAAAAAAAATACACACACAACTCCAAACTTCAAACACCTTTCAAGAAACAGCCTAGAAGGTACCACTCTACAAAGCCTTTCCAAACAACGTCAGGCAGGGTGGCCCTTTGGTTAAGAGTACTGGGCTTTTTGAAAAAAGAAGAGATTCCCAAGTTTAAAACCAGGTCCGCCATTAATAACTTCATGACCTTGGGCACGTTACCTATACTCCATGCATCTATGTCTCCCATCTGTAAAGTGAGATCATTCTGGTACATATCCCATGCAGTTTTGAAGTATTAAATGAGATATACACAAAGAGTGCTTAGCACAGTCCCAGACACTAAGTCTTTTATTAAGTATTACAGTAGGAGTAGAAGTAGTAATACAAAGTTTCCTCTTCAGTAAAATGTTAATGAAAAATGCCTCCCAGGGTGGCAAAATTCTGATGCAAAAGTATTTTAAAGCGTCATGCTGAACAAACATGCGTAAGGGGTTGGTATATAGCTGGAGATATCTGGGGCAAAGTTCTAACATCACGTTATAGAATATGCATTCCCTGCACTGGGTGGGGGGGTGTGTGGAAAATAATACCCACGACTAATTAATGGGAAATAAAGCCAGAAGATATGACCCCCGACTCCAAGCAGCACAAGTCTAAAGAGTAGTATTAAGCACAGAACCCGCAGACCCGGCCTCGATAATTCCCCGGAGTTCACCTCTAACGCCCCCTTTCCTTCAGAGCCGCGCAAGCGTAGATTGATTTTGTTCCTCTCGCCTTCGTGCCCCCGCCTCCAACCCCCCCCCCGCCACCTCGTCCGCCTCAACACGCAGGCGCATCTCTTCAAATCCTGTCCCTACCCCGGCCCTCTTTCTCTTCATTTCGTTCCCCCTCCTCTTACAGCACCTCTGCAGGTTCAAACTCTGCTCCTTGAGGGTGGCGGCGATCGAGAGGTCACGTGATGAGCATCCTGCTGCCCAACATGGCGGAGTTCGACACCATCTCGGAACTGGAGGAGGAGGAAGAAGAAGCGGCAACGTCGTCGTCCTCGCCGTCGTCGTCGTCGGTATCGGGGCCAGACGACGACGAGGAAGATGAGGAGGACGAGGAAGAAGAAGAGGACGAGGAAGAAGAAGAAGAGGAGGAGGAGGAGACACCGCCCCCGCCTCGGGTAGTGAGTGAGGAGCATCTGCGGAGATATGCCCCCGATCCTGTATTGGTGCGGGGCGCCGGCCACATCACTGTGTAAGCAAGAGGGGCCATGGGGTTTGAAAACGCTGAGATTTGTCGACAGAGGAATGAGAAGGTGGTCGAGGAGCCTCTGGGGTGGGGGAGGGCTGACTGAGGCATACAGTTAGAAAAGGACACCAGGTCTAGATGGAGAAACCGAGGGAGATACGCGTAAAGGAAGTGAGGAGAATGCAAATGTGATGCACCAACATCAGGTAAAGAGTGAGTATAGGACAGAGAGGTTAGAGGTTTGAGAGCCAGAGGGATTGGAGTAGAGCTTCTGTATATGCCAGCAAGTAAATAGTCTTTAAACTGCAGGATGTACCAGAGGATTCTTTGCTGCTAAGACTGGTGTGTAGTGGAACACGGTGACTGCTGTGACATGTTATAAGACCTAGGCTTGGATTCTTCCAAACAGAAATATGACATGTTTCATGAATAATATTAAAAAATATCCACCCACCCACATATTCCTTCATCCATTCTTCCTATCTAATACTTATATGAATGAATATAATAATCCTTTCCATGTCTTGATAATTCATTCTGACATTCATTAAATATCACACAATTAGAAGTTCAGATTAAGAGGTAGTTGTGAAACGTAAAGGAGCAATAGATTGAGAGTGACGACTCTTGGAACTTAGTCCCAGTTTTGCTTCTTACTGGCTCTGTGACCTTGCTCAGGTTACTTCCTATTTCTGGGCCTTAATTTCTCCATCTGTAAAAATGAGGCGCGTGGGGTAAATGGTTTCCAAAGCCTTTCACCTCTGAGATGAGATACTCATAGGAGATTTTGTATGCCCAAACATTAAATATGCAGATATGAAATACTTACATAAATTATTCCCCCAGGAGCTGAGGTTGATTTTTTTTTGAAAACTTATGCAGAGTGACTTTTTAAAAAATTGAAGTCTTGGATCATATTTGAGAAAATAAAAGAAGGAGAGACCTCGTAGCATAGGAGTTGCACAGCAAAAGAAAATTTTCATGGCTCTCCGTGCTTTGAAGAGTGCTTTTTCTTTTTTATGTGCTTGGGCTGTATATACTCGAAAGTTTGAGTGTGTATCTTGTTCATCCTCTTAACTATGCTGTCTTTTCCTGCATTTTCCTATCACTGCCTCTAATTTTGATAATGACTCACCTAGTCCCTTCGACTTTCAATTGAGTTCATATTATCAGAAATCATGTATTATAATATGCAACACCTCCCCCATCATGTTAGCCTTTAATTTTAACATGTAAAATATTTTGATTGTAATATATTTTTGTGATCTTTGCATGAAATATATTAAGGAAGATTTTGAAATTGTGGAAGAGTTTGGGAAGATTTTTAGACCAGCTTTTTGGTTAGGCAATTATTTTAATACAATTTTTCTTGGTCCAAGAGTTTTGCAGATAGCTTACAATGATCAGATGCCAGCTTACTGTGCTATTTTACTTTTATTCCTTTCATCACTAGGGAGACAATTTATTACTCAAACTAATTATGATTCTGGCACCAAAGGTTACTTTCATGCAGATTATTTCACATGACTGAACAGAAAAAGGGTTTTTTTCCAGTCTGTAATTTTATATTCCCAACATTCGTCCCCCTCCTTATTTTCTAACACTCAGAAGACAGAGGAGGAGCAAGGAAACAGAATTTAAGTTAATAGAAACTTATTTGTGGTACTTTTCACACAATCGTGGTGAAGTACTTATCAACCTATTTTCAGTTAAAAGCAAAGCGCTGACACTTGCCATATCTAGGGCCTTGTGATAGTTATAATGTCCCACCCAGCTTAAAAATTCTGAATTAGGAGTGTGAAGTAGTAGTGCTGGAAGTAACTATTGGTATTAACTGAAGCCAAAACCTGAAAAGCTGCAAACCAGTACTTGAACCACTAACCAATGTATATAGTTTGGAAAATTATTTAGTTGTGTTGTACACATTCTCTCAACTGAAAAGCACATTTGATCTTAAATGTCTGAGATCTGAAAAAAAAACATTAAATGTTTAGGAGAAAGTTTTATTGAATCTGAAAAACTGGCCTTTCTATGGTAGTGAAACTTTCGCGGTATCAGGTAAAGTATGATCCTTATGAAGTAGTTAATCTAATTCTGAAACATCTAAAATAATCAGCTTCCGTTAAATTTTTTTCTGGCATGTGAGTGTTAGAGTTGTCCTATCTGAATGAAATATTTCTTATTCTCTCCTACCTCTTATTTTTTCCATTCTCTGTGCAGTCATCTATTCTATACAGGACTTTGTTTCTTTTCTAAGTTTAAAATTTGAGAACCATTGGTTCGAACTCAGTATATCTTAAGCCATCATTTTCCGTCCCCACATTGGTTGTGCATTCCAGTTGCCGCATTTCTGATCCTGATACCACCACTCTAATCTTCTGGGGTAGTATTTCAAATCCTTGAGTCATTTTTTTAAAGATTTTATTTTTATTTATTAGGAAGAGAGATAGCGAGAGCAGAAACACAAGCAGGGGTGGTGGGAGAGGGAGAAGCAGGCCCCTTGCAGAGCAGGAAGCCCAATTTGGGGCCATCCCAAGACCCTGGGATCATGACCCGAGCAGACGCTTAATGACTGAGCCATCCAGGCACCCCTCCTTGAGTCATTTTAACTCTTCCTTTTCCTTGACTTGTCAAGTGCCACTCTATCCCAGAATTATATCATCATATATTTGAAATGTCTATTAAACTTTTCGTTTTCTCTATTTCTGCTGGCACCACCCTAGTTTAGGTTGCCATCAACTCCTGCTTGAATTATTGTCACAGTCTGCCACTTCTTTCCACTCCAATACATTCCGCATGCTGGTGCCAAACTAATTTTCTTAAAACAGAGTTTAATCATGTCACTTTCCTACTGAAAAACCTGCACTAGATCTTAATTAGATCTGAATTCTTATGCTCTCTTCTTCCAGCCTCAGAGGTCAAAGAGTTCCTTCACTTGTCCAAAGTTCACTGCTTCACTTGTACTTTATGTACCCTTCTTTTCCAGCCTCCCAAATCTTGCTCCATCAGGTAGCCCCATCTCTCTAATATTACCTCTCTGCATCAGCCTATAAACATATTCATATTTTCTGTCTTTCTTTAAAAACAAAATAAGACAAAGCTTTCCTAGACCTATGTTCCCCTTTAGCTACTGTCTTGTCCTTCCTTTCCTCTCCAGATTTCTTAAGAGTAGCTACAGTCACCATACCTCTTTCCTTTTCACTCCTCTGTAACCTGGATTCTGCCACCTTGACCAGCCCAAGGGGTGGGGAAGAACTAGCCTTGTTAAGAGCACCATGACCCTCTTGTTGCTACGTTTTTTTAAAAGATTTTATTTATTTATTTGACAGGCAGAGATCACAAGTAGGCAGAGAGGCAGGCAGAGAGAGAGGAGGAGGAGGAAGCAGGCTCCCTGCTGAGCAGAGAGCCCGATACAGGGCTCGATCCCAGGACCCTGGGATCACGACCCGAACCGAAAGAAGAGGCTTTAGCCCACTGAGCCACCTGGGCACCCCTTGTTGCTACATTTATGGGCATTTTTCATTCTCTTTATGGTCCTCTCTGCTGTATATGACACTTATAACGACTCCCTCTTTTTTGGAGGCTTCTATTCTAGGGGTCGCAAACACACACACCTTCAGAGGTGATAGAGGTCACAGAAAATGGTGCACCATGAGTAATGGGGTCTCAGTTGAACTAGAAGGTGTATATGTTTTGCCTAAAGGTATTCAAATTCTGATGTAAAAACATTTTGCCAGTCAAACAAACCTAAGAATTCCTTGGCCACTTCACTCTCCTGGGTCTCCTGTATTTTTCTGGCGATTATTTAACTCTCTCATTCATGGACTTCTCTTACTCTTTTGACCCTTGAATACCAGTGGTCTCTGAGTTTGTTCTCAACCTACTACTCTTCTCATTCCCTATTCTGCCTAGATGATCTCATCGTGATTCTCATGGTTTCAATTATCTGACATCTCCCAAATATTTATCTCTGTGCCACACTTTGCTGAGACTTTCACCTGGGCTTCCTCGCCTGACAGCCCACTGTCATCCTAAATTCTGCATATTCAAAACAGAATTTATCCCCCCCACCAACCAATCCCCTTATGCCTCCATCCCAACCCCTCAAAAAAAAAAAAAAAAGTCCCTCCTGTTCCTGTTTTCCATCTCAGTTCAGTGTACTTCCACCTATCTCATTATTGATCTTGGTTCCTCTTTCTCACTTATATTTATCAGCAAGTATTAATAATATATGTCCTAAAAATTTCTTCTTTTTCTCCCTACCGGCACTTCCCTGATTCGAGCCCCTTTTACCACCCTAACCAATCAACTTGTCTTCATCCTTGTCAACTTCACATCCATTTCCCAGCCTGCTGCTAGATTGAGATGCCATTTTACTGCCCAAGACTATTCTGTGATTTTCCCTTTATCCACAGGATAGAATCTAAGCTCCATACATGGCATATAGAACTGGACCCTGCTTATCTATCAGCCTAATCTGCTGACATTTCCCCTTATGGCTTATATTTTCCTGTTCCTAGCATGCTATTTCTTATTTCTTTGCCTTTGCTCAAGCTAGGACCTCCACCTAGAATTCCAGTACTCACTGCCCTTACCCCAGCTCTCCATATGTCACCGCCTCCTGCAATTCTTCTCTGCCCCCACTAAATTGTAAGCTGCAATAGCAGTAACAATTTTTAGTGCCCTCTGAATCCTCATGGCCTAGCACAGTGCTTGCCCTGAAGTAGACAATCAGTAAAAGTGAGTTGAAGGAATATTGGTTCACTTTAGTAACACTCAGTATTCCTACCATAATGTATGCTATATTTTAGGCCCTCAACAAATACCAGTTACTTGAATCATGCTGTGGAGAGTACTTCTTATTCTGAGCAAAGATCAATATGGGTACAGTAATATCACCAGTCCCAGTGATGAGGATTATGACATGGCCTTACCTCTGATATCTTAGTTAAGGCATCAGAATACCCCTATTTCTATCATCTTAGCATATTGGCTTTCTAGTTTAT